CAGCTCTGTCTCAGGGGTAATTTTTCCACGAGTAGTTGTAAATTGGCTGTGTCCACGGGAGGAGGTGAGTTCAGAGTCTGCCTACGCCGCCATCTTGACTCCCTCTCCGCTACACTTATTTTTAATACTCTTTTCCTTAAACTTTTATACTATAGTCAAGTGCTTAACACACCATCCTATTACAGAACGGAGTTTTGTAAATATGACTGTATTTACTTTTACCTGTATGCTGTGTACTTTCACATGTTTTTACATCACTAATTAGTGTCTTTTCATTTCGGCTTGAAGAACTCCTTTCAACATTTCTTCCAAGGCATATTTAGTGGTGATGAACTCCCTCAGCTTTTGCTTGTCTGGGAAAGTCTTTATTTCTCCTTCTTATCTGAATAATAACTTTGCTAGATAGAATATTCGTGACTGGTAATTTTTTTTCTTTCAACACTTTGAATATGTTGTTCCTCTTTCTCCTGACTTGTAGGGTTTCTGCTGAGAAATCTGCTTATAGACTAATGGGGGTTCCTTTGTATGTTACAATCATTTTTCCTCTGGGTGCTTTTAGGATTCTCTCCTTGTCCTTGGTTTTTGATAGTTTCATTATAGTGTCTTAGAGAGAGTATTTTTTCATTGAGATAATAGGGTGATCTATTAGCTTAATGAACTTGGATGTCCATGTCTCTCTCCAGGTTTGGAAAGTTCTCAGCTTTAATATTTTTAAATAAACTTTCTGCCCCTTCTTCCTTCTTTCTCCTTCTGGAACCCTAATTATTCTAATATTTGCATGTTTTATGGAGTCTTATAGATCACATAGGCTTTCTTTGCTCTTTTTCATTCTTTTTTTCCTCTTATTGGGTTATTTCAAAGTTCTTATCCTCTATATCATTGATTCTATCTTCCTTATGGTTTACTCCGCTATAGATGGTCTCTATTGCATTTTTCATTTCATTCATTGAATTCTTCAGCTCCAGAGTTTCTATTTGGTTCTTTTTTATCATCGCAATCTCTTTGTTAAATTTCTCATTTTGATTATGTATTGTTTTCCTGATTTCATTGAATTGCCCTTCTGTATTTTCTTGTAGTTTGTTGAGTCTCCTCAAAAGAGCTATTTTGAATACTTTATCAGCTAGATTGTAAAATTCTATGTCTTTGAGCTTAATTATTGGAGCATTATTGTTATCTTTTGGTGATGACATGTTTCCTTCATTCTTCCTATTTCTTGGAGTTTTTTGCATTGCTGCTTTCACATTTGGAGTAGCAGACACTTCCTCAAATCTTTACTAGATGGCTTCAGGTGGATACACTGTTCATTGTTCCTGTTTTATCTTGGGTTTTCTCCACCTTTGTATGGATATACCTGCTCCACGCTTCTTGCTCCCTTTTATGGCAGGATTATTAAGCTTTTATGTCTTCTGTGGTTCTTACAAATCACCAGGCTGGCTGCTGGAAACCTCTCTTTTTTCCCCCAGAAGGTGGTGCTATAGTTCAAGTTTGTGGTTTCTCCCTTGCCCACAGACCCTGGTCTGATTTTCTGAGAGCACTCTGTTGACCGGAGCTCACTCTCACCACCACACTTGGGAGCGTGCAGAGAAGTGAGCCACAGAGTGAGGAGAGGTATGGGTTTGGCAGTAGGGGCCATGGGGTGACTTCAGGCCAGTGGAAGGATCCTTGGGTGAGATTCTCCCAGAGGCTTATGGGGGAGACTTCCTTCTGGTAGCAAGACCCATGTCTCTTTAATGCTCCTTAATATTCCTTGTTTTGTGTATAAGTTTATACAATTTATTTTTGTAATTTTTAATTTTTTATTGAAGTATAATTGAAATACAATATTATATTAGTTTCAGGTGTACTGCATAGAGATTCAATATTTATCTGCATTACAAAATGATCACCACAAGAAGTCTGGTTACCATATGTCACCCTACAAAGTTAATACAATATTATCAACTATATTTTCCATGCTGTACATTACATGCCCATGACTTGTTTATTTTACTTGCTTATTTTATAACTGGAAGTTTATACCTCTTGACCTCCTTCACCCATTTTGCCTATCCCCAACCTCCCTCCCCTCTGGCAACCACTATTCTGTTCTCTGTATCTATGAGTCTCATTTAATTTGCTTTGCTTGTGTATTTGTTTTGTTTATTAGATTCTATATATAAATGAAATCACATGGTATTTGTCTTTCTCTGCCTGACTTATCACTTAACATAACACCCTCTAGGTCCATCCATGTTGTTGTGAATGGCAAGATTTCATCTTTTCTTGTGACTGAGTAATATTTCATTGTCTATATATACCACATCTTATTTATCCATTCATCTATCAATGGACACTTAGGCTGCTTTCATATCTTGGTTATTGTAAATAATGCTGAAATGAACATTGGGATGTATATATCTTTTTGAATTAATGTTTTCATTTTTTTAAATAAATACCTAAAAGTAGAAGTATTGGATTGTGTAGTAGTTCTATTTTTAATTTTTTGAGAAACCTCAGTACTGTTTTTCACAGTGGCTGCATCAACTTACATTCCTACCAACGGTGCATGAAGGTTCCTTTTCTCCAGACCCTCACCACCACTTGTTATTTCTTGTCTTTTCAATAGTATCCATTCTGATAGATGTGAAGTGATATTTAATTGTGGTTTTGATTTACATTTCCCAGATGATTAGTGATGTTGAGCATCTTTTCACGTGTCTGCTGGCCATCTGTATCTATTCTCTGGAAAAATGTCTATTCAGGTTCTCTGCCCATTTTTTTATTGGATTTTTTTTTTAAATATTGAGTTGTATGTTCTTTATATATTTTGTATATTAACCCCTTATTAAATATATGATTTCCAAATATCTTCTCCATTTAATAGGTTGTCTTTTTGTTGGGTTATTGGTTTCTTCAGCTGTGCAGAAGCTTTTTAGTTTGATGTCATCTTTTTTTTTTTTTTTTGCTTTTGTTCCCTGCCTGTGGAGTCAAATCCAAAAAAATAATGCTAAGATTGATGTCAAGGAGCTTACTGCCTATGTTTTCTTCTAGGCGTTTTATGTTTCATGTCTTACATTCAAGTCTTCCATACATTTTGAGTTAATTTTTATATAAGGCATAAGACAGTGGTCTAGTGACATCAGCATAATGGCAGAGTGAGCTTTCCCCACAGACTCTCCCCCAATAAGATACAACAAAAAGAACATTTGTATACCAACAGAGGACACTCATATGACACAAAAAAAATCTGAGACACCCACACAGATGTACATCTGAAGGTGAAGGTGCTGGAACCCCCAGAGGAAATGGAGGGGGTAAGGAGAAATCTTCCCCCTCCCCATCCAATCGGTGACTCCAGATCCATGAAGCTCCTGGGGGGGGGGACAGGGGTGGCCCTCTGGGGGAAAGCCATTGTTGTCCAATTTCTCTCACAGACTGTGGGGAATTCCCATACGGAGGAGACGGAACTGTGGTGGGGTTGCCATCAACATCTGAGCACCCCAGGAGAACAGATAGCGAGGGAAGAACAAGAAGCCCCAAGATGGGGCAGATGAAAGAGAGAGCCCCTCTCCACTGCGCACCCAGCACTTCAGCACAACTGGTCAGCCAGAGCACCCACAGATTGCAGTGGGCTGAGGATGCATAGCTCTTGACCGTCACCCAGTGGTGGCAGGTGGAAACTGTGACAGATATTTTTAGGATGAGGAAAAACAAGCCAACTTCAGAAGGCACAATGCAAAAATATATTAAATCTCCAGACCAGAAAGAAAATAACAAACACCCAGAAATCAACCCTGAAGACACAGAAATTTATAACCTAAAGGACAGAGAATTCAAAATAGCTCTCATAAAAAAGCTCAATGAACTAGAAGAAAATACAGATAGATAATTTAAGGAAATCAGGAATTTCTTCACAAAAGAGAATAAACCATAAAGAAATATTGGAGAGGAAAAACACAATGGAGGAGATAAAGGAAAATCTGGAACCTTTAAAGAAGAGAGTTGACAATGTGGAGGAAAGGATTAGCCTTATTGGTGATAGGAATGCAGAAATGCTCCAGATAGAAGAGGAGCGAGAACTAAGACTAAAAAAATTTGAAGAAATTCTTGGAGAAATATCCGACTCAATTAGGAAATGAAACATAAAGATTAGAGGTATTCCTGAGGAAGAAGAGAGGGAAAATGAACAGAGAGCTTGTTCAAGAAAATAATAGCTGAGAACTTCCCGAATCTGGGGAAGAAGCTGGAAATACCAGGGAATGAAGCCAATAGATCACCTAAATATATCAACATGAAAAAACCCTCTCCAAGGCATATAGTAGTAAAGCTGGCAAAAGTCAATGACAAAGAAACAATATTAAGGGCAGCTAGACAAAAAATAATAATAATAATAATAATGTACAAAGGTATTCCCATCAGGCTCTCAACAGATTTCTCGACAGAAACTTTACAGGATAGGAGAGACTGGAATGATATATTCGAAATTCTGAAAGACAAAAACTTTCAGCCAAGAATACACTATCCAGTGAAAATATCCTTCAGATATGATGGAGAAATAATAACTTTCCCAGATAAGCAAAAGCTAAGGGAGTTCATTCCCACAAGACCTCCACTACAAGAAATGCTCAATAAAGCCCTCATGCTTGGAAAAAAAAAAAAGAAAGAAAGAAAGGGGATACAAAGTTTCGAGCCAGGAGAAAAATAGGTAGACAAAATCAGAAAAATTGCAACTCTCTATCACAACAGGTTAGCAAACACTTAATTACAAAAATCAAAAATTAAGGGAAGGAAAATACTAAAAATAAATATAACCTCATCACTTTAAACATACACTCACAACACAAGTTGGAATAAGTTGTGACAATAATAACTTAGAAAGGGAAGAGGAAAGGGATTGAATTGACTTAGTCTAAGGAAATAAGAAGTTATCAGACAATGGAATACCTTATCCATGAGATTTTTTTATACAAACCTCAAGGTAACCACTAAACAATCCGAACAGAGTCACAAAACATAAATAAAGAGAAAACTAAAAGAATCGTCATACGGAACTACCAAACTGAATTGGTAGTCTGAAACACACGAGACAAGGAACACAGGAAATGCAAAAGAACTAGAAAATGAGTGAGAAAATAGCAACATTAAGCCCTCATATGTCAATAATTACTCTAAATGTAAATGGATTTAATTCTCCAATCAAAAGACACAGAGTGGCGGGATGGATTAAAAAGCAAGTCCCAACAATATGCTGCCTCCAGGAAACACATCTCAGCTCCAAAGACAAACACAGGCTCAGAGTGAAAGGATGGAAGACAATACTGCAAGCTAATGGCAAACAAAAGAAAGCAGGTGTTGCCATACTTATATCAGACAAAGTAGACTTCAAGATAAAACAGGTAACGAGAGACAAAGAGGGGCAATATATAATGATAAAAGGGACACTCTGCCAAGAAGACATATCAATTATAAATATATATGCACCCATCACAGGTGCACCAAAGTACATAAAGCAACTATTAACAAATTTAAAAAGGAGATATTAACAACAACACAATAATAGTAGGGGATCTTAACACCCCACTTACATCAATGGATAGATCACCCAGACAAAAAGCCAATAAGAAAATAGTGGACTTAAATGAAAAACTAGACGAGATGGACTTAAATACAGAGCACTCCATCCAAACACAGCAGACTACACTTTCTTCTCAAGCTCACATGGAACATTCTTAAGGCTAAACCATATGTTGGGAAACAAGGCAAACCTCTATAAATTTAAGAAGATTGAAATCATAACAAGCATCTTTTCTGAGCATAATGCTATGAAACTAGAAATCAACTATAAGAAAATAACTGGGAAAGTAGCAAAGATGTAGAGACTAAACAACATGCTACTAAACAACCAATGAATCATTGGTGAAATTAAAGGAGAAATAAAAAAATAAATGGAGACAAATTAAAATGAAAATACGCCATACCAATTCATATGGGATGCAGACAAAGTGGTCCTGAGAGGGAAATTCATAGCAATACAGGCCCACCTTAACAAACAAGAAAAATCCCAAATAAGCAACTTTAAGCTACACCTAACAGAACTAGAAAAAGAAAAATGAACAAAGCTCACAGCCAGCAGAAGGAGGGAAATAATAAAAATTAGAGCAGAAATAAATGAAATTGAAACCAAAAAAAAAAAAAAAAACACTAGAAAGAATCAATGAAACAAAGAGTTGGTTCTTTCAGAAGATAAACAAAATTGACACATGCTTAGCCAGACTCACTAAAGAAAAAAAAAAACGGAGAGAAACCTCAAATCAATAAAATTATAAATGAAAGAGGAGAAATTACAGCAGATATCACAGAAATACAAAGGATTATAAGAGAATACTATGAAAAACTATATGCCAACAAATTGGAAATCTAGAAGAAATGGATAAATTCTTAGACTCATACAACCTCCCAAAACTGAACCAAGAAGAGATACAGAATCTGAATAGACCAATAGCATGTAAAGAGATTGAAAGAGTAATCAAAAACCTCCCAAAAAAATAAAAGTCCAGGACCAGATGGCCTCTCCGGAGAATTTTAGCAAACATTCATAGAAGATTTAACACCCATCCTTCTCAAACTATTCCAAAAAATAGAGGAAGATGGAACACTTCCTAACACATTCTACAAGGCCAACATCACCCAGATACCAAAGCCATACAAGGACAACACAAAGAAGGAAAATTACAGGCCAATATTGCTGATGAACATACATGCAAAAATCCTCAACAAAATATTGGCAAACTGAATACAGCAATATGTTAAAAAGATCATACACCATGATCAAGTGGGATTTATACCAGGGACACAAAGATGGTTCAACATCTGCAAATCAATCAACGTGATACACCACATTAAGAAAATGAGGAATAAAAACCACATGATCATCTCACTAGATGCAGAGAAGGCATTTGGCAAGATCTAACATCCATTTATGATAAAAACTCTCAACAAAATGGGTATAGAATGAATGTACCTCAACATGATAAAAGCCATATATGACAAATTCACAGCCAACATCATACTCAGTGGGGAAAAACTGAAAGCCATTCCTCTGAGAACAGAAACAAGACAAGGGTGGCTACTCTTGCCACTCTTATTCAACATAGTACTGGAGGTTTTGGCTAGAGCAATTAGGCAAGGAAAAGGAATAAAAGGAATCCAAATGGCAACAAAGAAGTGAAACTCTCACTACTTTCGGATGACATGATTTTATATATAGAAAACCCTAAAGAATCCATTGGAAAACTGTTAGAAACAATCAACAGCTATAGCAAAGTTGCAGGGTACAAAATAAACTTACAAAAATCAGTTGCATTTCTATATGCTAATAACGAACTAACAGAAAGAGAACTCAAAATGATAATCCCATTTACAATCGCAACAAAAAGAATAAAATATCTAGGAATAAACTTAACCAAGAGGGTGAAAGACCTATACAATGAAAACTATAAGACATTATTGAAAGAAATTGATGATGACATAAAGAAATGAAAAGATATCCCATGCATATGGATTGGAAGAATAAACATAATTAAAAAGTCCATACTACCTAAAGCAATCTACAGATTCAAAGCAATCCCAATTAGAATCCCAAAGACATTATTAATGGACATAGAACAAAGAATCCTGAAATTCATATGGGGCAACAAAAGATCCCTAATAGCTAAAGCAATCCTGAGAAAAAATAACAAAGCTGGAGGCATCACAATCCCTGACTTCAAAATATACTACCAAGTGATAGTAATGAAAACCGCATGATATTGGTACAAAAACAGACACACAGATCAATGGAACAGAATTGAAAGCCCATAAATAAAACCACACATCTATGGACAGCTAATCTTCCACAAAGGAGCTAAGAACATACAATGGAGAAAAGAAAGTCTCTTCAAAAAGTGGTGCTGGGAAAACCGGACAGCCGCATCAAAAGAATGAAAGTGGACCATCTTCTTTCACCATACACAAAAATGAACTCAAAATGGATCAAAGACCTGAAGGTGAGATCTGAAACTATAAAACTCCTGGAAGAAAATATAGGCAGTACACTATTTGACATCGGTCATAAAGGGATCTTTTTGGATTCCATGTCTACACGGACAAGGTAAACAAAAGAAAAAATAAACAAGTGGGACTTCATCATCAGACTAAAGAGCTTCTACAAGGCAAATGAAAGCAGGATCAAAATTAATAGACAACCCACCAGCTGGGAGAAAATATTTGCAAATCATATATCTGACAAAGGGTTAATCTCCATAATATATAAAGAACTCACAGCTGAACAACAACAACAAAAAACAACCTGGTCAAAAAATGGGAAGAGGATATGAACAGATACTTTCCCAAGGAAGATATACAGATGGCCAATAGGCGTATGAAAAGATGTTCAACATCACTAATCATTTGGGAAGTGCAAATCAAAACTACACTAAGATATCACCTTACGCCCATTAGAAGGGCTATAATCACCAAGACAAAAAACAGCAAATGTTGGAGAAGTTGTGGAGAAATGGGAACCCTAATTCACTGCTGGTGGGAATGCAAACCGGTGAAGCCTCTATGGAAAACAGTATGGAGATTCCTCAAAAAATTAAAAATAGAAATACTTTATGATCCAGCTATCCCACTACTGGGTTTCTATCCAACGACCCTAAAATCAACAATCCAATGAGGCTTATGCACCGCTATGTTCACTGCAGCATTATTCACTATAGCCAAGAAGTGGAAGCAACCCAAGTGTCCCTTGACTGATGAATGGATAAAGAAGATGTGGTATATATATATATACAATGGAATACTACTCAGCCGTAAAAAAAAGACAAAATTGTCCCATTTGCAACAATATGGATGGCCCTCGAGGGTATTATGTTAAGCTAAATAAGCCAGAGAAAGAAAGAAAAATGCCACATGATTTCACTCATATGTGGGAAATAAACTAACACACGGACAGAGAGAACTGTTTGGTGGTTACCAGGGGCAAGGTGGTTGGGGGTGGGCACAAAGAGTGAAGGGAGGCATTTATATGGTGACTGACAAACAATAATGTACAACTAAAATTTTGCAATGTTATAAACTATTAAGACATCAATAAAAAAAGATTAATCAACAAGGAAGTTGCAAACTGCTGTTACAGGCTTCGAGATTGCCACAGAATGCTTTCATTCTATGTTAATAAACACCTGGAAAAATATTTTTCAGGTTATCTGGCATACTCTTACTGAATCTCTCAACTGATTACTGAGACCCTAAGAAACCAGAGGGAAAATTTTTGCGCCTGAGAGGAAAAACAAGCCAGAGATTATTTTTTCCACTTTCTTCCCTGGGTGGAATCTGCCAGTAACAAAAAATTGATCTCACTTTACAAAACTGAGCCATGCCTGCAAGGAAAAGCATAGAAGGGCACGCACTGATTTTCTGGGAAATGAGGAGTCCTGCTTTTTGGAACCACATTTTCCCCAACTGGAACTTTCAGATATAAGTCTGTGCCTGACGGTTAGGGCGACTTTGGCAACCTACACCAGCTGTGATGTGAGCAACAGAGAAAGATCATTATGACCCTGCAGCTCACATTTTCTGTCCTTGAAGCTGTTTTGTGTTATTGTTTGGGATTGTTTTCTCATTGCATTGTGTTTTGCTATTCTCTATTCTCACTGCAATCCCCCCAAATTTATGAAAGACAATACCACATACTCTTGGGTTATTATAAGGCAGAAAAATTATTTTTATTTAAATATATCCACCAAAGAGTTAAAGAAAAAAAAAGATAGCGGTCCAGTTTTATTCTTTTGCGTGTAGCTGTCCAGTTTTCCCAAGATCATTAATTGAAAAGACTTTTTTCCTCATTGTATTCTTGCCTCCCTTGTTGTGGATTAACTGACCACATAAGTGTGGATTTATTTCTGGGGTTTCTATTATGTACCGTTGATCTATATGTCTGTTTTTGTGCCAGTACCATACTGTTTTGATTACTATAGCCTTGTAATATAGTTTGAAATCAGGAAGCATGATACCTCCAGCTTTGTTCTTTTTTTTATTGAGACTGCTTTGGTTAATCAGGATCTTTTGTGGTTCCATAAAAATTTTAAGGTTATTTGTTCCAGTTCTGTGAAAAATACTATTGGTATTTTGGTAGAGATTACACTGAATCTGTGGATTACTTTGGATAGTATGGGCATTTTGACAATATTAATTCTTCCAATCCATGAGCACGGTTTATCTTTCCATTTATTTGTGTCATCTTTAATTTCTTTCATCAGTGTCTTATAGTTTTCAGAGTATAGGTCTTTCACCTGGTTGGTTAGATTTATTCCCAAGTATTTTATTCTTTTTGATGCAATTGTAAATGAGATTGTTTTCTTAAATTTCTCTTTCTGATTAGTGTATGGATTTTTGTATTAATTTTGTATCCTGCAACTTTACTGAGTTCATTTATTAGTTCTAACAGGTTTTTTGGTGGTTTTTAGCTTTTTTAATATAATATCATGTTATCTGCAAATAGTGACAGTTTTACTTCTCTCTTTTCAATTTGAATGCCTTTTATTTCTTTTCCTTGCCTATTCACTGTGCCTAGAACTTCCAATACTATGTTGAATAAAAGTGGTGAGAATGGGCATCCTTCTCTCATTCCTGATCTTAGAGGAAAAGCTTTCAGCTGTTCACCATTGAGCATGATAGCTGTGGCTTTGTCATACATGGCCTTTATTATGTTGAGGTATGTTCCCACTATACCCACTTCGTTGAGAGTTTTTGTCATAAATGGATGTCGAATTTTGTCAATGCTTTTTCTGCATGTATTGAGATGATCATATGATTTTTATCCTTCATTTTGTTAATGTGATATATCACATTGATTGATTTGCAGATGTTGAATCATCCTTGCATCCCCAGAATAAATCCCACTTGATCATGATTTATGATCCTTTTAATATATTGTTGAATTTGGTTTGTTAATATTTTGTTGAAGGTTTTTGCATGTATGTTCATCAGGGATATTGGCCTGTAATTTTTTTTTTTTCACAGTGTCTTTGTCTGGTTTTTGTATCAGGGTAATGCTGACCTTGTAAAATGAGTTTGTAAGCATTCCTTCTCCTTCAGTTGTTTGGAATACTTTAAGAAGAATAAGTACTAAATTTTCTTTGAGTGTTTGATAGAATTCACCAGTGAAGCTATCTGGTCCTGGACTTTTGATTTTTGGGAGTTTTTTGATTACTAATTCAATCTCATTACTGGGAATTGATCTCTTCTGATTTTCTATTTCTTAATGATTCAGTCTTAGAAGATTACATGTTTTTAGGAACTTATCCATTTTTTTCTAGGTGTCCAATTTGTTGGCATATAATTGTTCATAGTCGTCTGTTATGATCCTTTGTATTTCTGTGGTATCTGTTGTAACTTCTTTTTCATTTCTGATTTTATTTAATTTTGGCCCTCTTTTTTTTCTTGAAGAGTCTAGCTAAAGGTTTGTCAAATTTGTTTATCTTTTTGAAGAACCAGCTCTTAGAATCATTGATCTCTTCTATTGTTTTTTTAGTCTCCATATCATTTATTTCCAGTCTGATCTGTACTATTTCCTTCCTTCTGCTGACTTTGGGCTTCATTTGTTCTTTTTCTCGTTCCTTTAGGCGTAAAGTTAGATCGTTTATTTGAGATTTTTCTTGTTTATTTTCAGGTAGTCCTGCATAGCTATGAACTTCCCTCTTAGAACTGCTTTTTCTGCATCCCACTGATTTTAAAATGTTGTATTTCCATTTTCATTTGTCTCAAGATATTTTTGTATTTCTCCTTTGATTTCTTCATTGATCCATTGGTTGCTTAGTAGCACGTTGTTTAGATTCCGTGTATTTATGTTTTTTCTAGTTTTCTTCTTGTAATTGATTTCTAGTTTCATACCATTGTGGTCAAAAAGATGTTTGATATAATTTCAATCTTCTTAAAGTTTATTGAGGCTTGTTTTATGGCCTAACATGTGATCTATCCTGGAGAATGTTCCATGTGCGCTTGAAAAGAATGTGTATTTTGCTGCTTTTGGATTGAATGTTCTGTATATGTATCTATTAAGTCCATCTAGTCTAATGTGTCATTAAGGTCAATGTTTCCTTATTGATTTTCTGTCTGGATCTATCCATTGACATAAGTATGGTATTAAAATCCCCTACTATTATTGTATTGCTGTCAATTTCTCCCTTTATGTCTATTAATATTTGCTTTATATATTAGGTGCTCATATGTTGTATGCATAAATATTTACAAATGTTATATCTTCTTGTTGGATTGACCTCTTTATCATTATGTAATGCCCTTCTTTGTCTTTTATTGCAGTCTTTGTTTTAAAGTCTATTTTGTTGGATATAAGTATTACTACCCCAGCTTTCTTTTCTTTTCCATTTGCATGGAATATCTTTTCCATCCCTTCATTTTCAGTCTGTGTGTGTCTTTAGATCTGCAGTGAGTCTCTTGTAGGCAGCATTTAGATGGGTCTTGTTTTACAGCCACCCTATATCTTTGACTGGAGAATTTAGTCAATTTATATTTAAAGTAATTATTGATAGATATGTACTTATTGCCATTTTGCTGATTTTTTTGTTTGTTTTTGTAGCTCTTCTCTGTTCCTTTCTTCTTCTCTTGCTCTCTTTCCTGTGGTTTGATGACTTTACTGTTATGTTTAGATTTTTTTCTCATTATTTTTTATGTATCTATTATAGGTTTTTGGTTTGTATCTACCATAATGTTCATATATAACAATCTATGTATACACGGAAGTCTATTTTAAGTTGACAGTCACTTAAATTTGAATGCATTCAAAAAGTACTACATTTTGGGGGCCGGCCTGGTGACGCAAGCGGTTAAGTGCGCGCACTCCGCTGTGGCGGCCTGGGGTTTGCTGGTTCGTATCCCGAGTGCGCACCGATGCACCGCTTGTCAGGCCATGCTGTGGCGGTGTCCCATATAAAGTGGAGGAAGATGAGCATGGATGTTAGCCCAGAGCCAGTTTTCCTCAGCAAAAAGAGGAGGATTGGCAGATGTTAGCTCAGGGCCGATCTTCCTCACAAAAAAAAACTAAAAAAAAAAAAAATACTACATTTTAATTACTTTCCCACATTTTATGTTTTTGATGTCATATTTTACATTTTTTTATTTTGTTTATTCCTTAACTAATTATTATAGTTATAGTTGATTTTACTACTTTTGTCTTTTAAACTTCATACTAGTTTTATAAGTGGTTGATTCTCTGCCTTTACTATATGTTTGCCTTTAGCAGTGGAATTTTACCTTTCATATATTTTCTGGTTTCTAGTTATGGCCTTTTCTTTTAAGCTTAAAGATGTCCATTTAACATTTCTTGTAAGGCCATAGCCTTTAGCTTTTGAACTTCTTTAGCTTTTGCTTGTCTGAGAAACTCTCTATCTCTCCTTCAGTTCTGAATGATAACCCTGCTCAGTAGAACATTCTTGGTTGAATGTTTTTTATTTTCAGCACTTTGAATATATCGTGCCACTCCCTTCTGGCCTCCGAAGTTTCTGCTGAAATATCAACTAATAGTCTTATGGGAGTTCCATTGTGTTTAACTAGTTGTTTTTCTCTTACTGCTTTTAAGATTCTCTCTTTAGCTTTAGCTTTAGCTTTTGACATTTTAATTATAATGTGTCTTGGTGTGGATCTCTTTGGGTTCTTCTTGTTTGGGACTCTCTGTGATTCCTGGACCTGGATGTCTGTTTCCTTCCCCAGGTTAGGGAAGTTTTCAACCATTATTTCTTCAAATAAGTTTTCTGACCCTTTCTCTCTCTCTTCTCATTCTGGGACCCCTATAATGTGAATGTTAGTATGCTTGATGTTGTCCCAGAAGTCCTTTAAGCTATCCTCATTTTTAAAAAAATTCCTTTGTCTTTTTGGTGTTCTGTTTGGGCAATTTCCACTACCCTGTCTTCCAGGTCACTGATCCATTCTTCTGCATCAGCTAGTCTGCTGTTGATTCCCTTTGCTGCATTTTTCAGTTCTGTTATTATATTCTTCAGCTCTATGAGTTCTAATTGGTACTTTCTTATATTTTCTATCTTTTTGTTGAAGTTCTCACTGTATTCATCTGTTCTTCTCCTGAGTTCAGTGAGTATGTTTATGACCATGACTTTGAACTCTTTACCAGGTAAATTACTTATCTCTGTTTCCTTAAGGTTTTTGTCTGAGGTTTTATATTATTCCTTCATTTGGACCATGTTTATGTGTTACATTTTGCTTGATTCTCTGCGTTTGTTTCTATGTATTATGCAAAGTAGCTATCTCTCCCTGTCTTGAAGGGGTGGCCCTATGTAGGAGATGAATCTTATCATTTAACCTTACCCTAGTTCTTAGTTGTTCTCAAACTGTCTCTCTAGTTATTTCAGACCTTTGGGGTCTGGAAACACAATCCACTCTAGAGACCTGAGACTGGCACTCAAGAGGCATCCTTTGTGTGGGCTATGTGCACCTGTTGACTCTTTTGGGACTGTGCGAGCAGTGCAGGGGGGTGAAATGGTTTACCCCCATGTCTGGCAGGGCCATGTGAGTGGTGTGGGGGGGGAGTTGCTCACCTACCACTGTTAATGGGTTAGAATGAGAGTGCAAAAATAGCATCCATGAGTGCTGGCACCAGCAAGATAGAGGTAACCCATAAAAATGGTGTCTACCAGCATTCTGTCCTTAGAAAGAGTTCCAACAGATTTCTGCCTATCTGGCAGACGCTTTAAGATTAGCAGGTGAATCTCCTTCATGTAGAGTCTAGGCTTTTGTCAAACTGCTGCTTTCTGTGCTGGGTTCCAGAGTGTTTGAGTCTGTGCATAAGCCCTTGAGAGCAGAATTTTCATTTCCTACAGTACTGTGTTTCTTCTAAACATAAGCCCAGTTGGTTTTCAAAGACAGACATTTTGGAGGCTCATCTCTCCAGTGCAGGACCCAAAGGTTGGGGTGCCCTGTGTGGGATATAAATCCCTTGCTTCTCAGGGAGAGGTTTCATTTACTTATTTATTTTGAGACCCCTTCCACATTGTGGGTCATCCCACTGGGGATGTGGTTTTTGGCAAAAGCGCGTCTCTGCCTCTCCTACTCATGTCGATGTGGCTCATTTATCTTTTGTTGTGGAGCAGGTGTTCAGCTAGTTCTCAGGTTCTTTTCAGAGGGGATTTTTCTATATGTAGCTGTATATTTGTTGTGTCTGTGGGAGGAGGTGAATTCATGATCTTCCTACGTCACCATCTTGAACAGAAAAGACTGCCCTTTGATATTCTTATCTGCCTCTTTGTCAATCTCCTCCCTCTCCCCAGTCATGGTGGTCACCCCTCAGTACTTTGGGTGCTGCTGGAGAGAAACTGGTTTCTCCACCAGTGTTCCACACAGCTAGGGTAGCCAAGCACTCACTCACTACTCTCCTTATCCCTCACAGGGAAGTTACCACTGGCTAGTTCAGCTCCATGCCATGTAGCCTTGGAGGAGGAGTAGTGCTGACAAAGGGTCCTTATCCTCTCCAGTGCATCCAAACTCTTATTTTTCTTTTGCTCCAGTAGTGTACTGTAATCTTCCCTTGGAAAGACTGGACTTCTACAAACTTTGTCTCATGTGTGGGTGTCTACTCAAGTCTGCACTCTCCAGTTTTTACCTAACTGCCACTGAGAAGGGTTGGGATAGATTTTCTGGCTCTTGCTGGTTTCACAGCCTGTACCAAGATCTGTCTGTCTACTACCAGATGTACAAGTGGACCCTTGGCATATGATGCTGGATCTCACAAATCCCACAGAGACACTTGTTTGTGGATGGATGCCTAATTAGTTGTTAATAAAGGGGAAAAAAGGAGGAACATCTTATGCCATCATGATGCTGTTGTCACTGACATTTACAGTTTTATAAGCAGACAAATTATATGTCTGGAGGCTGAAGAAAACAAGCCAGTAGAGAGACTGATATAAAACCCAAGAGAAGAAACAATGAGTGGTGTGAAGTCCTGGGTAATGGAGACTAGGAGTGAGCCACAAAAACAGAAGGGACACCTTTTAGTCACTAGGGAAAGAGGAGAGGATAGAAGAGGAACAAGAGAAAAATGGAAGACTAGACTTATGCTTGCATGTTTCTATTGTGGTATCCCCCTGTACCATGAACATAAATGCCCTGCTCTGCATTCCTTAGTGAGAATGACAGTGTCAGAGGAAAATGCCCCTGTGCTGCGGGACATATAGAAGTCTCTAAAGTTAGAGCCTGAGCTGCGAAGTCATTATATCCTTGGAAGTGCTAATCAGAAGAGTTTGGAATATACATTTTGCTGCAAGCATCTTGTGTAGCTCAGGCATGGGAGAGAAACTGAAGTGTCCAGGAGTTGGTTTAATACCCCAAAGCTTTGCAGCTTTGGGAGCAGCAGGAGACATTACCCAAGGCGGAGAGGCACTGTTCTCACACTGAGTGTTGATAAAAGTGGTCATGGAGAGGTGCCTTTCACAAGTGGATCTTAGGCACCAGATATAAATATCAAAGAACGTGGTCTCCTGAGCACATCTGAGAAACTTCCTAGAGATGCTTCAAGAAATAACTGGAAGAGATTTTGACAGGAGACATGAGGAGGAGGGTTGTTTTTGTTTTTTTTTTTACTGTTGTATCTAGCACATTTTTCATTTATTTTTATTTCTTATTTTTTGTTGATTGCAGTAACGTTGGTTTATAACATTGTATAACTTTCAGATGTACATCGTTATACTTCTATTTCTGCATGGATTACATCATGTTCTCATGTTCACC